GAGGCAACATGGTCTCTTTTCATATCTCTTAGCTTCCTATAGAAGCGACATGAGACTGCGAGCATCAAAATTATGATGATAAACAACACAGTCAGACTAGAACTTAAGCTATGTGAAATACTTTGAGCCCAAGCTCGCGGGCCCCACCCTTCCATGCCATTCACCAATTGCTTAATCATATCAGAGCCAGGAGATGCCTCAAGCTTGTCTTTGAATGTATAGAAAAGATCCTTCTTAAGCTGATCAACATCTAATGAAATGTTTCCTGATCAAATCCCAATTATGCAATGTCTTATTATAAGGATAAGGGGTAATACAAAAATCCGTAACATTCCAATCACACTTTAGCATTAATTGATATTGTAAGTCCATCATTTGATCTCCCAACCACTGGACAGTTTGTTGCAGCTCTGCCACTTTTCCCCCCAGTTCATCGTCCACCTTTGCCTGAGTGGCCCAGAGCTGATGTGAGTTCTCTTGCCACTTCTGCACGAAATGCTCAGTTTTGATGGACTCTTGTAGAGCACTCCCAGCGACGGCAGCAGTGGTGGCAATGGCTATGAGTCCAATTATAGCTGCGATTAACATTCCCACAAATCGGCGAGGTCTTTTCAGCATTTCCGATGCTCTCCCATCTGCGCTTCATCTCCACCGGGATCCACACCCCCATCCTGCTCTTTAGGATGAGGATGCTGTCTTTCGAAAGGTTTACAAGCAGAGCATGGTTAAGTGTACAATCTACAATTATGGCACGTGGCACTGCAAGCAGTTTCATTTATGATGATATTTCCTACAGCAAACACATAAGGCAGCTTTACACACAAGACTATGTATCAAGTCTCCTTCTTGAGAAAAGTATAAGTATAGCCAGAATGGATGGTGCCAGTAAAGCTTCCTATATAGCCTATTAAAGGCTTAGTGACAAGCAGTAGTTTCCACAGGTCCCACTGTTCAGGTCCTGTCACAAGCTTCAGTAACCTGGGGCGGGGAGGTGCAAGGCCTCCCTCATGCCAGGCCATCAACTTTGACCTAGAGGTGGCAATGCCATCAGGGGTCCTTTGCCATTTACAATCACTTATATAATCACATGAGGTGAAATTAGACTCCTCTGAGCAATTAGTTAGAAACTTCCCATGGGGTCCCCAATCAATGATAGTCACAGTGTCATTTCTTAACACCTTTCCATGTGGGCCCTGACATTTGAGCCTGCCAGTAACGACGTGTTGGTAACTCATAATTT